ACAAGTCCCAAGCCATGCACATGGCCAGGCCTTTCTTCTCCTAATATTTTGCTAAGTGCATCTCCTTTCCATGCAACCTTTCCTTGACTAGTCTCCGCTAAACATGGCTGTTGCTCTATAAGTTTCTTCAAAGCCTCCTATGCATACCACCAATAAAAATAAAAAAGGACATGAAAAATTACTGATGTAAACAATCAAAGACCAAGCATTCACAAACAACGTACCACATGTGCATTTGTGTCCTCACTTTTAGTCTGGTGTGTATGGAGATACAAAATAGCTCTGTGAGGGTTTTTCTTCTCAGGATCTTTTTCCCTCTGCGAACATGATAAATAGATATAAAGAACTTCATAATCATTAGCATATAAATGTAGCAAGATTACAGTTTGAGTTATAAAAGAATTTACCAACTCCTCTCTGTTCCGAGCAAAACTCTTTGTTCCAGCTGTATGTGTTGACTTCTTCTTTGTACAGTTTACTCTGTTTTTCTTACTTATATCCTACCATATAATGATGAGATAGAGAAAAGCATTTAGGTTCCATAAATGTTTATTAAATCTACTGGCCATGGAAATCACACAAATATGAACCCAGCATGTCCATGTACCAGTGCTTTTTGTGTCGTCCAATAATCAACAAGCGCAATCCACTGATAACCAATTACACCGTCAGGAACATTATTATGGTTATCTTTTGTGCTCTTATGCTCATCAAAATATATTGATTTCAGATTAGACTTGTGTTGCCTCCATCTCTCTCCTATGGTTCGAAGTATCCATTTTTCCATGCGAGAAGGGTACAAGAATCTCATCTGTACATGCCAAAAAAAAACACATCAATAAACAATGAAAGTTAAGTATCAAAAATTACCAACAAGGTTATACAGTGCCTAGCTGAACTACGTACCTTCACTTGCTTAAGTATATCCTTTTTATTTTTTTGTTCATCAGTGTTTTTCTCTTTCTTTCCTATTAGAAGTCTCCAATCCTTGTAGCTCAAGCTACACAAGCAACCATTCCTAGCAACCATGCCAAGAAATTTTCCAAGAAACCCAGCCTCTACTCCAATTGGTTGATCCAGCTCATTGCATCTAACCACGATTTTGTGACCTTTTGGAAGGTTCCAAATATCTTTCAGTTTCGTCTTTCCACGCTTTACTCTATCTTCACTTTCATCTATGTAGTGTACGGAGCACAAAATATTCAATGATAAATAGATAACACATTCTAGTAGTAATAAAAAAGTGGCAGTAGGTTAGTAGGTTAGTACGTACCGTGGAAATTAACTTCAATATCACCATCACCATCAATCTGATCTCCTATAGCACTTGAATGGAGTTCAGATGCCTCTCTAGTTTGTCCATGGCTCTCTTGTCCAATATGCTCTTCTGGCAAATATTCATCATGACTCTGAATTATCTGTTTCCTTCTACCCCTTGCCACAGGCACTGAAGAGCCAAAATAGTATAGTATATATATAGGTCAAACCATGATACCCTGGTCTGAAATTTTTTTACTTTGCCTAAACTAATATTTTCAGTACAGAACACCATATCTATGGAAGAACATATGACTACAACTAAATACATGTTGATGTTTTTGTGATGGCAGATTCAATCAGAGCCAATTTTGTAAGGAAATAATAAATTAAAACAAAAGGAAGGCTTCCATTGTCACTACAACTTGTATATATCTTATCATAGACTTTACTGTTTATAGTAAAATTAGAGGAGTCAATTATATGATCATTATAATACCTTTGGTTTTATTTGGTTGAGATTTGGATGGTTCTTTGTTGGAATTGGTAGGCGCTAATGTGGCCAGTCTTTGCTTTGTCACAAACAAGCTAACTGACTTTTGGCTCTCACACTCCTCAAGCATTTCCATGACCTGAGCATCTTGTTCTATTGCAACATGGCCATCGTTTCTTCTGTAGTATATATAGTCAACTGATGAGTACCCATAATGCTCGATCATTTCCATCAAGTTGAAGTAGCATATCTCATCTCTATCCATTTTATTTTGCACACGTTTCTCTCCTTTATCAGCCCCATCGCATAGAAGATTTATGGTCCACATATCCTCCGCCATGGTATCACAATGCACAATCTAAATAAAATTTAGCACAATTAGAAAAATAAGAATAAAGCATAGGTTAATTCTCAAATAAACAACAAGTGTAGTGGAATAATCCTCCGCCATGGTATGCGATTGGTCTTTGTAACGTTATATGAATAGGAAGCCAGCAGTAGCTGAACAAGCTGAGGAAATCAAATGTTCAGCATGAATCCGTAGAAAATGCAATGAACAGTATGTTCCTGTCAACTGTCATGATAACATATCTGAATGAACATATACTTTTTATATCTTCTGATGCCGTCTTTTCTCCTAATTCCCCATACCATCTTATGATGCATAGCTCTGTATTTTAGCTTTTGACTTAAATCGAAATTGCTATTTTGACATCTGACCTTTTCTATATATAAAAGTAATACATATACTGATTGTTTGATAAAATCATGTTTTAAGGTTCCATTATTACGAATGGAAAAAATAAATTAAAACAAAACTAAGACTTCTATTGTAACTACAACTCATATAGAGAGATTAAAGGTACTCACTGGTTGCACAGCTCCCTCTCTCGCAAGAACCGGTCTCCTTCGGCAGACGCGCCCGCCCGCTTACCGAATTCACCGCGACGGGAAGTCTCGGCGGTTCCCAAATCAGGGGGCGGTTCCTAGGTTTTTTTCACCGCGACGGGAAGTCTCCAGTTAGTCTCTAGTGGATGGTGGCCCTTGTTAGACTTCTGAATAATAATTAGGTTACAAGTGTGCAGGAAAAAAGTACCAAATAAAAAAAAAGAGGGAACACTAGCTGGAGAAGTCTTTATTTAGATTACACTCGTGCAGGAAAAATGTACCAAATAAAAAAAAAAAAGAGGGAAACAATGGAGGGAGAAGTTTTTATTTAGATTTCACTTGTGTAGGAAAAAATTTTCAAATAAAAAAAAAGAGGGAAACATTGGCGGGAGAAGTTTTTATTTTTTTGACATGAACTACTGTATACCTCGTGAGATGCACGAAAACAATATTAAATTAATAATATTATAATTAGAGCTCGAGTTTTAGTCACTAAATGGCGAAAATAGAAAATGCTATTGATCCTATTTAAAAAGAGGAATAAAAAAATAAATATAAATTAAAGAGAAGGATAAATGATACTTAATAATTATAAATTAAATATTCGGGGTCAAACAATGTCTAAAAACATTTGAATTTAACATTGTATAAAAAAAATCGCCATGTTATAGATGGCGAGAGAATGTTATGCATCCTAATTAAGCTGAGTTTAAAACAAAAATCGAGTTATTAGTGTTACATCCAAATTAAATGAATATTTGGGATTGTAAAAAAAATTCAAATGAAAAAAGTTATCAATTATAAAGTTTTATAACTTTCGAGATCTACAACTTTGCTTTTGGTCAATTACCCATCCGAGGTCGTACCAAAAAATAGAATTTCAAAAGTGAAGAATTCGACCATAATTTCATTGGATAAACAATTTCAAATAAATGCGTTGTCAAATACAAAGTTTCTCGACTTTTTGATATCTACATTTTTTTCCTGGATGTTGGGGGAACGATCCACCGGATGACCCGGAGCAGCCCCAAAGCCCCAACCCCTCAAGATGTGTTTAAATTGCACCTCAACTATGTGTGTAGCCTTTTTTGAATGGCGCATTTATTTTGTTAATTACAAATCAAATCTTTATAGGCTTTTTTTTAGAAATCGCACGTAACCTTGAAAGCTTGTCAGTTGGTCCCTTCGAGATCCTCGCGGAGGCTGTGTGGCTACTGAAATGATGTAATTTAGAAAACACATGTTTTCTTTAATCATATTATTTCTGTAACCAATAACCGAAAGGAAACTGGAGCTGAGGTTGTAACTGGCACACGGTAAAAATGGTGGTCTCCATGGTTGGAATCTCATGCGCAAGCTAACTAGCAGAGGTGCAATTGTTCTTGCACAAACGTTACTATAGCCTGGAGCAGAGTTGTAATATATATTTTGTTTATAATATATGTATGTATATATATATATATTGTTATATTTCTAATATTTTTATGACAAAAAGTAAAAACAAATTAACAATATTTTCTAAAAATATATGAAAAATAAAATTTATTTTTGTGATTATAATATTTTTTAATTATATTATTTTATTAAAAACGAATTTCGAATCGGATCGAATATGTTCGAATATTCTAAACGAATCGAATACGAATCAAAAAATGAATTCGTTATCGAATATTTGAATATTCTAAACAAAACGAATCGAATCTCTGAGTATTCAATTTGATTCAATATGCGATAACCATAACCTGGAAGTTCAGATTTAACCGGATCATTTAAGTATGCCATTATTTTATCTCAAATGGAATAAAATACCCCTTCTTTATTTAAAAAGCAACCATACATCATCCAGGTTCTTTTTTTTTCCAACGATAATAAATATCATAAAACTCAAGAGTTCTTTACAAATCGAGCAGTCCACCGACTACTATCAACAACAGGGGCGTTACACAAACAACCCTTACAAAGAGAGACCAAAACAAAAAAAAGGCCTACTAAATAACAGAGAAGAACTGAACCAGCTAACAGAAAATATAACTGTCAAAAAGAGACAAAAGATCATAGATATCTGCCAAAAGTACATTGCAGCCAACATCATTTCTCAACATGTTGAGTTTGTTCCTCAGGGGAATGAAACTCAAACTGCATTTAATTGTCTTCCATCCCTTTTGCACAGCTTCAAAGAGAGCCCATCTGATTGCTTTCTGCCACCTGGTTTCTTCCTTATCAGAGCACCAGAGAAGGTCTTTCAGGTGAAAATCAGAATATCCATCTCTGTTGGCTATAAGCTCCACTTCCATCTGATCAGAAGATATTACTTGGGCACCGACAGTGACAAAATGCACAAAATGCACAAAATGCACGCAAACCATATGCCATACATTAGAGCTGGGCAACCAAAAAAACAGAGAACGAGTACAACAGAAAAATACAAACATATCTAACCTTTGTACAGCTATACAATATTGAGCAGTACAAAAATCAAACATATCTAACCTTTAATTTTGATGGGCTATCAATCTTCTTCATCAGAACTTCTACTAGGATCTACATCTTTTTCCTGTACAGTTGTACCCTCTACATCTTTTCTAGTCCACGAACGACTATTATGTGAATTAGCAAAAAGGTCCTCAAGGGTACTAACATGATAAGGTTCACATTCTACATCATTCCATTCTTCTCCCATTTCAAAATCATCTCTTGGTTTTATCTTCAATGCAACTGACCATCCTGGGTTGTTATAGTCATCATCGACATAGAACACCTGGTCAACTTGATCGGCAGATACAAAAGGCTCATGTTCAATCCTATCACCCTTATGAATTTGTTGTGAGAAATTCACAAGTGTACATCCAAATTTATCTGTTTTCACTCATTTTCCTCGAGTGAAATCAATCCATTCACATTTAAACAACACCACTGAGAATCTTCCATAATAGTCCAACTCAATTATATTAAGTATTCTACCATAGTAGGTAATATCTCCAAGGATAGGGTTAGTATCTCCTGTAGAAGAATAACTTGATGTTTTTGCAGTCACAACAACCCCACTATTTTGCGTCGTCTTGTCATAACTTTTGGCTCTAAATCTGAAACCACGGATGCTAAAGGCTCTGTGTCTTCTTGCTGCATCCAATGGGCCGCGAGCCAGCCATCTAATGTCCTCATCGATGCTATCACTACCATGTTTTTGCTCCAACTGCATGATCTGTATCATCACAAAATATACTTAGGTCAATTTATCCTCTTTTTTGAATATGAAATAAACCATGATACGTACATGTTCTCTGAACCAGTTCGGAAACTCTTTATTCTGTATATTCTCAATTTGTTTCAAAGATAGACGACGTTGACGATTTCTTCTTTTGAGATCAGCAGCATGCTCTCTAAAAGAAATTAACACGAATTCAGTTTTAAAGGAACATATGTGAAATATGCTGATAGATGTCAGTAACACTTACTTCAAGTACGGAATGACAACTTTACAATTGTATAGTACATATCTATGTGCTTGCAGTTTCTCTAGATCAGTTAAAATAAAACTGGATGGTCTTCCCAATGGTTTTCCTACAGGAGGAAACAAAGAGGAAACTTCTCCAAATAAGTCGGATTCTTGATGATCCTGGTTCTCCTCATTCCTTGATGATTTGTTATGCTTTGTGGAGAAACCTTCTAAGTACCTAGAACAAAACACCATACACTCATCTGCCAAAAATGAATTCGCTATTGAAGCCTCTGGATGAGCTTTATTGCGAACATATGATTTCAATTTGCATAGGTACCTGTAACATATGGAAAAGCATCAAATTTAGTATCTTATATATAATAAATAACCCAAACAATGAAGTGGTATTAGTAAGAATTAGTACCTTTCGATGAAGTACATCCATCGATAACAAACTGGTCCACCCAACTTACATTCAGTTGCTAAATGTACTGCTAAGTGAACCATAACAGTAAAAAAACCAGGAGGAAATATCATCTCCATTTTGCATAGTGTAACTTTAATTGATTGTTCCAAGCGGTCAAGGTCATCTAAACGGAGCACTTTTGAACATATTCCTCTAAAATAATTAGACAACTCAAACATTACTGATGTGATATCATCTGGAATAATGCCCCTTAGAGCAATAGGCATGAGCTGTTGAAGTAGAACATGGCAGTCATGTGTTTTGAGACCAATAAGTTTCCTTTCAGCACAATTTACAGATTTCGATATGTTTGCAGAGTAGCCATCAGGAACTTTTATGCCTTGAAGCACTTTACAAAATGCCTGTCTCTCAGTTTTAGACATAGCAAACCTTGCAGGTGGCAAATACAACTTGCCAGAAGGTTTTTCTTGTGGGTGGAGGTCCTCCCTAATGTTCATCTCTTTGAGGTCTTTACGAGCTTGTAAATTATCTTTTGACTTTCCCTCTAAACCAGATAGTGTACCATAACAATTTTCAAACAAATTCTTCTCTATATGCATCACGTCAAGATTATATCGAAGAATATTAGCATCCCAGTAAGGCAATGTGAAAAGACTACTTAGTGACTTGTAAGGTTTTGAGTCCTTGAAATTACCTAATGCAGTGATTTCATCCAAAATTGGACGGTCATAATAAGTTTGTGGCTCTGCTTGAAGCTCCATTGTTCCATCAAAAGAAACCTTATCCAAACGAAAAGGATGCTCAAGAGGAAGAAATCGACGATGACCCATAAAACAAGTTTTATTACCATGCTTCAGACGTTTGTACCATACATTTTCACCACAAGGTAGACATGCAAAATTTCCATGAACCATATGAGAAGCAAGCATTCCCAAGCCAGGTAGGTCACTTATGGTCATTAGCACTGCTGCTCTCAAATCAAAAGTTTCATTTGTTGATGCATCATATGTTGCCATACCATTTACAAATAAATCTTTTAGATCCTCCAAAAGTGGTTTAAGGTACACATGAAGTTTATCCCCAGGACTTTTAGAACCAGGAATTATTAAAGACAACATTAGATAATGCTCTTTCATGCAAAACCACGGCGGTAAGTTATATATTACCAAAACAACCGGCCAACAACTATATCTAGAACTCAACATCCCGTATGGATTAAATCCATCGGTGGCTAAGCCAAAGCGGATATTCCGTGGATCTGATTTAATTAGTGGAAACTTTTCATCAAAGTCTGTCCATGCACGGGAGTCAGCTGGATGTCGTAGCGCACCATCCTTCATGCGATCTTCATCATGCCATCTTAGGAGAGGTGCTGTTTCTTTGCACATAAAGAGCCTTTTCAGTCTGTCTTTAACAGGAAAGTATCTTAACACTTTACAAGGCGTTGCTTTCCTTCTTTGCTTCTTTGTTAGTTTGGTCTCAGGCTCCATACCCTTCCACCTAGAAGCCTTGCACTTTGAGCAAAAATCATCATTTGCCTTGTCTTTCCAAAATAGATCACAACCATTTTGGCACGCATGAATACTTTCATAGCCCAAGCCAAATTTGGAAATAACTTTCTTAGCCTCATAAAAGTTTTTGGGCAGTTCCTTTCCATTTGGAATAGCCTTCTGCAAAATATCAAGTAGATCACCTAATGATTTATCTGACCATTTGTTCATGGATTTTACATTGAACAAAAGCACAAGTAAAGTTAGTTGCGTTAAATCACATCCTTCCCATAAAGGCTTTTGTGAATCTTCAACAAGTTTATAGAACTCTTCTGCTTCTAAACTTGGCCCGCTAATAGGTGGATTGGGAAGATTTCCAGCATATGTCATCGATATGTCATCATACAAGTGATAAAATGCCTCACGAAGCATGTGATTCATGTTGCCATAC